CAGTATGCATGTTGATTGATTGATTGATTGACTGATTGTTGCTGACATGGTATTGTCAGTGTGGTATTGGTATTTTGGGGGTAGCTCACTAAGCCCTCGGGCTTACAGTTTTCAGTTTATTGTTTCAGGTACTTCAGGAGATCGTGGCAAGGCGAAGGCGTGACCGTACCGCTCCTCATCCTTATGTTATGATCTGTTATTGGGACACTCTGATGGATTTTGATTTGAAAACATTTTTGTAAACAATACTATTTGACTTTTATTTATGGTTGAAAAGTTTAAATTTGGCGTAAAATTTTTGGATGTTACAGAATGTATGTGTAAATGTTCTTCAAGATGTACCAGAAAAATGACCAAAAAACGGATATATCATTCCTGTCTGAAAACTGTCAATAGACAGTTACAAACTGTCATAAAACTACCAAACCTGTCATTAAACGAATCTCAGGGAAAAAAGGGTCAACTTTCTAAAACTGGACCCCTGTTCGTTTAGGGGCTTCACACCTAAATAACAATGTACTTTGAATCTTGAAAAACTTGAACAAGTGTGCACTCCTACACCATCCTAACTTGTTCAATATTCAACAAGATCACTTTTGGTCTACAAATTTAATCCTATTACACTTAAATAATATTGATGATATCAAATCACCAACAATGTATTCCTAACTTCCAACCAACAACCACCATTTCCTAACGTTCTATTCAACTCTAACACACAAAGAAGTACCTCTCAACAATTTGTCGAGCCCGAGAGGATGAAAGAAAAAGAAGAAGAAGAAGAAGATAATGATGGTTGATGTTTTGTATTATTTTGAACAATGTTAAGTACTTATTGTAATATTAAACTTGAATTTGATGTTTTGAATTTGAACAATGGTAGCTAGTTATTGTATTTCAATTGATATATGCTGCAAAGTATTTGGATTTGTTAAAAATGCAGGAATGGAAATGAACAGAATCTGTAAAAACTAAAAAAAACATTCAGTGGCTATCCCGACGACAAGTCGTCGCTATAGATATTTAATCAACGATTGTGAAAAACTTGTGGCGACGACAAGTCATCGTTATAGCTGGTACCTATCTCGACGACAAGTCGTCGCTACAGGTAATTAATACAACTTTAGTTATTTTTTTCAAAAAATGTATTCGACGAATCGACGACAAGTCGTCGGAACAGGGGGAACCTATGTCGACGACACCTATGCCGACGCCCTTTTTGACCTATGCCGACAGGACTATGCCGACGACTCAGTACCGACGACATGTCGTCCGTATACCCTATGGCGACGATATGTTGTCGTTACAGGGCCAGAAATTGTCGTCACCATTGGGGGTTAATGTCGTAGTGTAAGGCTTGTACTTGCCGACAAACTTTAACAAAATGCCACCTTAAGTCATATATATATATATATATATATGTAGCACCTGGTTCTTGGTATGTATTTTTATTTAAGTATTTTTGCATTTTTGGCCTTGGACTCGGCGAGTTGAAGGACCAACTCGCCGAGTAAAAAGCGGGATGAGGCGCGGGATTTAAGTGATGGACTCGTCGAGTCGGGTCCCGGACTCGACGAGTAGACTCTGACTGGACAAAAACCCTAATCCGAGGGTTTGCACCCTATTTAAACAATGTTATGTCGGCCACAACGTCCCTTATGCTCCCAGAACACCTCTCATTGAAACCCTAGCCGTTATTGAAGCAATCTAAGCCTTGTTAGTGGATTTTAGTGCTTGTGGTCTTAAGAAGGAAGGAGAAAGGCTTGAGGAAGCAAGTAAAGACCAAGGGAACCCGAGTTTGTGCACCTTCTACAGTTCATTGAAGGTAAAAAGCTGTAACCTTGCTCTTTCATTTGTTAGATCCCTTTTTGGGGAGATTTAGGGCTTTTATAAGCCACTTTTGATGGCCAACCATGATTGCAAACATGGTTGGGGGTTAGAGCTTCGGAATCACGTCATTAAAGGAGTCACAAGGCAGTTGGGGACTGCTTTTGCACCCATGAAAGGCCCCATGCATCTTAAGAGCTTGTTTTATGTCTTTTTGAGCTCAAAGTCCCATGCAAGCACGTAAAGTTTGTAACTTTACGTGCTAGATCGATTATAGAAGCTTGGATCTATCTTTTGATCAAAGGTTGTACATCAGAATTCAAGGATTTAGAGTGTGGACATGACTGACTCGGCGAGTCCGTTCTTGGACTCGACGAGTCCGAGGCTTTGAGCCTCATATCTGTTGAGAGTCAAAGGAACCCAGTTGAGTGTTAGAAGGGTTGTAATCGGACAGGAAGAGTTACCCAATGTGTTGGACGTGATTTTAGACCTGGAGTTCATGGGACTCGACGAGTGCTAGAACAGACTCGGCGAGTCCAAGGCAATCTTCTTAAGGATGAAGATGAACTCGACGAGTTGTTCATCAACTCGGCGAGTCGAGGACAGAACTTGTCCATCAGATGAAGGTGAACTCGCCGAGTTGTTCATCAACTCGACGAGTTGGATGAGTTTCATGCGATGTTCATGTGAGGGAGGAACTCGTCGAGTTGACGGCCCAACTCGACGAGTCGGGTCGTGGATAAGGACGAGTAAAGGGTGAGGGACTCGGCGAGTTGACGGCCCAACTCGGCGAGTCGGGTCAACTTGAAGTTGACTTTGACTGACCCTGTTTAGGGTTGTACTGGCTGTGTGTTGACTTGAAGGTCGTCGTGTAGGGATCGAGGAGTCGAGGGGAGTCGACTTGTGCGCTGAGGATAATTCAAACACTGCACGACATCGAGGTGAGTTACCTTCCAGTAGGGGTGGGTCTAAGGCCACAATGCCGGCCCACCAAAGAGGAATATTTGTAAGATGATTGTCTTTGTGATAATTATCTTGTTTTGGTTATGTGCTTTGGTCACGAGTATTATCTGCATGATATGTTACGTGTATAGTAGGGATTAGGACCCCTGACAGCGGCCCTTAGGGCCGTGGGGTAGGTCAGTACCCGGATATGCCTGACTGTATGATTGTACCTTGCTGTTGTATGCTAGTGGTAGGGGGTGGAATAGTCCCCAGTTACCGGTTGAAAGATACCGATGACAGTTACTGGTTGAAAGATACCGATGACAGTTACCGGTTGAAAGATACCGATGATGGTTACCGGTTGAAAGATACCGATGACGATTACCGGTTGAAAGATACCGATGTTGGTTACCGGTTGAAAGATACCGATGATGATTACCGATTGAGAGATACCGATGATATTGTATGGTATGTGGTATGATTGGGGAACTCACTAAGCTTTGTGCTTACGATTTCGGTTTTGGTTTCAGGTACCTCTTATTCTAAGGGGAATGAGTCGGCGGCGTAGCATCGCATCACACACACACATATGGTTTCCGCATGGAGTTTTCTGGGATTGTACTCTGATATGTTATTATTCTATGGCTTGGGTTTTCAGACATGATACATTGTTTTATGAGATGATGTGTTTTCGTAGTATTTTCTTATGAATGTTTTTATGTGTTGGTTAATTAAAAAGAAACTTTTTTGGACCTGAAAATTGGGATGTTACAATATATATATATATATATATATATATATATAAAATAGTAGAAAATACATATAGAATTGTTAATTATATATAAAATTGTCGCCTTAAATCACGCCTTACAAACGACGTGGTTCACCATGACTCGAGAAAGTTTGAGGCTTGACATTGCCGCCAAATATACCTAATGTTATTTAGAACCTTATATTTAACTTACATTAAACATTATTTCAAAATAAGTTCAGTAATATATTATTTCAAATTTTTTTTTCCATTGTTGATATTTCGTTTCGTTGGTTTTCGTCTCGTAACTCTAAGACTAGGATTAACTGAAATTTGTGGCTTCAAAATCCTACTCAGTTTTAATGGTCTGTATTTCTAGTGTCTTCCTAGTTTTGTTTTAATATATTTGTTTGCTGCCGTTAAAAAAAAAATCGAAATATTTGTTACAATATATTATTTCTTTATGTTCTTTGTACACATATGAAAGAACTACAATTCTCTAGCTTGGAGAGTTGGAAAGTAAATAAAGAGAAAAAAATAGAACATGGGAAAAAAAAGAACCGGTCACTAAATTCCTTCATTTTAATTAATTGGTTTTAGATTCTACATTTTTAATGAAAGAAAGACACCATATGAATACTGATTATTGAATTTAATTTGTTTTAATTCATCGATGTTCGTTTTTATTTTTTATTTTTGACTTTTCCAATTCTCATCAGCAGCATGTAATTATAAACCTATTTACATTCATTCAATAAAAATCAATCTTAAAATTAACTAAAAGGTAAGGCATGTCTGGTTAGGTAAGATTTATGTTTTTTGGGGGCGATACAATAAAAGAATGAAGAAGACGAATTTGATTGTTTTGGCACAATGCAACAGAAGACCAGCTTGAATATATTCTGAGAAGTGGATATATGATTATTGGTTTTGGGAGGAAAATGAAAGGTGGAGTGATATTAGGGATGTCATTAGGTTTATGATAAATAAAAGCGAGAGAGAGAGAGAGAAAAAAATCAAATTATTTAGAAAACATGATTATATAAAGCAATTGTGGAAAAAGACAAGTCTGAATTCATAGATCTCTCCCTCTCCACTTTTATTAAGTTTTCATCTAGCAGTTAAGTAAAAAAAAAACATCTAAATATATCTGAATATGTTAAGTGTTGTTAATATTAAGTTCATTAAAAAAAGATTAAGTTAAAAAGAAACACACTTTACGCTAGCTAACGCAAATTTGGAATTGAATGTTTTTTTTTTTTAAATGTGTTTGACTTATCAAAGGTCAAACCGTTTTTGTTGAGCTTCACGATTGGAGGTTGTTATTTGTTAATTAAGATAAAACCGGCAGCATAATAGATGAACGAAGATATATAACACAAAATTATATTTCACAATTGCTGTAGATGAACAAGGGTTTGGGAGGTAGTTATCCATGCATATATTTATATGTGGATCTCCCCACAAACGTATTTATGTGATGGTCTAATGATAATATTTTATAGAGCTCTAACAGATTGTATAAGAAACTCAGAAACACCATTAACTAACCGAAACTAACATAAGATAGCTTACCCTATCTCATTGAATAGGGAGGCCAGTAAAAGTTGAGGAATTGAACCCATGTGTTAAACAGGATCTTCATATCCCCTTTTAACTGGCCTTTGAAGAATGATACTCTCGTCTCTAAAAGATCAGAAATTCTGAGAGTAGGATCCTCCGTCTCTAGGCACTAGCAATACTCAATAGGGAGCCCAATAATTGTCAAGATCAGCACACTGATCCATCGTCATGAACCTATTGTTGCTAAGTCCATTTGAGTTGCTACTCATTTCCCCAACATAACCCATGGCTTGTTCATTGCCAAGTCCACCACTATTTATAAGCATTGAGGAGGTAACATCCTCTTGCAGCTGTGATGGTAGGGATGATGTTGCTGCAGATGGTTGTTGTTGTGCCATGGCCCTCATCTGTGTTGAAGTTGATCCTCTTAGGTTTAGATTCAGCCCGGAAATAGTAAAGCATTCAGCTCCACCTCCGTCGGGATAGTTCATCTGGGTTTGGTGGAGAGGCATATTGTTGCTACCTCTATAAACCCTAGAAAACTCCGCGAGATCAGCATTACTCATGTAATTTCTTCCTAATCCAACTGGGAACTGATAGCTTGGATCTGTCGACATGATCTGGGGAGGCAGATGAATCCCTGAAGCTGGGCCAATCTCATGGTTGTATGGATTAATCATGCCTCTTGAATGACTAGACGAGGGATATTTCTTGCCACCAGCAGTCTTTTGGAAAACCCGGCATACAACCCACTCATCCTGCATATGCAATTAATTAAGCCGCAAAAACCAGAAATTTTTTTGAATAGCATATCGTACGTATATATATGTTACTTCAAACACAAACATTTTCTTTGAGTAGCAAATTCTACAATCACTTAAATATATCTTATTGCCTTTGTTTGCATATAGGTTTAATTAAGTTCATCTATTGGTAACAAAAAAATTTCAAAATACAATTTTCTGTCAATTTTAGTTTCAGATACTTGAAAACTTATTTCATGAATAAATAAATATATTCGACATATACATCATGTATAAACGATTTTTAAAGGAGCTTGATATCGGTCTCATCAAAAATAAATGCAACTAACCCTTATAGATCATATGTATATATATACCTTGGAAGTTCGAAACGCAGATTTGGCATGAACACGATATTCATGCATGACCCAATTGGTTTTCTCACCACGAGGGGCTCTCCCTCTATAAAATACCAAAGTCTTCTTCATACCAACAAGATCGGATGTATTGCTATTGAAGATCTCCTTGTCCTTGCCAGTCGTCTTCCAATACCCAGTGTTGGTGGCTCTATTTGTCCTCACTCCTGTTGGGTATTTCCTATCTCGTAGGCTGAAGAAATACCACTCTTTCTCTCCCATTTTCGCCTTCCCTGTTTCAAAATTAATCTCACAATGTTAATTGCTTCTCGCTGTATTTGTGTGTCTGGAAAAACCATCAGTTCTTTAATTTGGAGGGTGCACTAGTAACTTTTGTTAATTTAGAAACACTTGGAAATTGGAATGGTGAGATATTGTAAGATGAAGTTCTTTTCTTTGAATTATTAGCAAAATTAATGTATATGCTGTTTGTGTGTGCCAGTAGACTATCATGCATAATTAAGTACACAGTTCTTTTAGTTTGTTGAGAAAAATGATGGTGTGATTAACCATTACTACAAGGAATGACTTTCATACAAAACATTACCTTTGATTGTAATCTTCTATGAGAATCATATTTTCCTGCCAATTCTTATTAGTTTAATATGCAACTTATGGTCATTTTACTCTCTTTAAAATATGATTCGGATGATTCTCATCATGGTTATTCGTAATCCCACTGAATGTAACACAATAAAATAAATAATATTTTACGATAAATCCCAATAATATTATCAATATAATAATATCAACAATAATCGGTTTGATTAATCTTGTACACCATCCGTGTTCCCTTTTTCTATATCATTTGATTTTCGTTCTAATATGATGATGATTGGCTCAAATCTAACAGATGTTAGGGGGTGTTTGGATAAATAGTTTTTAGGGGGTGTTTGGATAAATAGTTTTTAGCTTATTAGCTTATTGCTTATTTGCTTATTGTGGTGGGAATAAACATTTTTTTAAAATGTGTTTGGATTAGCTTATTGTGGTGGGAATAAGCAATAAGCAATAAGCATTTAAGTGTTTGGCAAAATAAAACAGCTTATATGAGTAAAATGACCAATAAACAATAAGCAATAAGCAATAAGTATTCCCCCCATTGCTTATTAAAATCAGCTTATTTTGTTTATTCCTACACAATAAGCTGATTTTTTAAGCATCCTATCCAAACACTTAAATTAACTTATTGTGGTGAGAATAAGCAATAAACTAATAAACAGCCATTTTTTCCCTATCCAAACACCCCCTTAGACATTTAGCATATCCCTAGGTAAAAATAGCTCACTTTTCGCCACTTTTGCTCTAAGATGGTACTTGTTGATGATAATGGTGATAGAAAACAAAAGCAGAATAAGAATAAGAACAAAAACAAAATTAAACGAAAACCAATCTAGTGACAACTGACAAATCAAAGATATGAATAATATATCACTTGAATAAATCATAATAACGCCAGTAACTAATTGCTATTTAATTAGTCATGCAAAAAATAAAACCCTAAGATTTAGGATTTTTTTTTAACAACAAGAAGTATATTAAAACGTAATTACAAGATTTTTTTGACATTTCGTACCAGACAAATACACCAATCATTATTCCAATTAAGTAAAGCACCTTTTCTAGATCTAATTTTGAGCCATGTAAAAGCCATAATCTTCACTTCACTAGCTAAATCTGCACTATATCCGATTCAAGTTCCAAATTACCTATTTTAGTTATATATTCACATGCATAGACAAAAGATTATTAGGGCTAGCTAGCCCAGTTGAGAGTTACTAACAAGGAGATCTTGGGTTGTATTCTAAGCATATACTAATCCGCTGTTCTAATTAAGGAAAAAAAAAAGACAACAGATCATTAGAGAGAGAGAGAGAGAGAGAGAGAGAGAGAGAGAGCATACCAGGAAGATCCCAAGGCTCACATTTGTTAAGATCAACATCAGTAATTGCCCTTCCAGTAAAACTTGAATCGGATATCTTGTTTACAAGATAAGAAGTGATGAGTTCTTCATCAGTAGGATGAAACCTAAATCCTGGAGGAAGTTTGTCAGCCTCCTTGTTTACTTCTCCTTCCATATTTACTACCTTTCCAAAAATATTATCTAAATTAAACTAATTATCTACCCTTAGTCTCATGCAGTGGGTTCTAACTATACCATGATTTTGATCAAAAGGGCTGAAAAGAAAAGGGAGTGTACAGTGTTAATTAACTCAGAGATAAGGTTTGGTGTGGAGTTTGGAAGTTTTCTTGCCTACAATTTTAGAATGTAAAACTTGTAACTTACAACTATAAGAAGAAAGAAGGTAGAGAAGGAGGGCGGTTCTAGGAAGCTCTCACCTACTCTTGTTCTTAAGATATACTCTTCTCCGAAAAGTCGTATAAAACCCTAGTCGTCGACAACCCTAATTTTTAAACAGTTTGAAGTTATTTCAGCATAAATAAATAAACATTAAGTATCTGGTTTCTCTTTTCAATTCATAAATCTGAGTTTTAAATCGCAATAAATTTTTAAGTGGTGGTTGATAACTTGTTGCAGTAAATATATAAAATGATATTTTGCACTCTCCATGCATGTGTAGGAAAACTTGTAAGAAAATAATCATTTATATATAATTCAAACATTGCATGAGTACTAAGGATTCCTTTGGGTTAATTTCTTATTTCGTTGTTTTGTAACATAAGATCCCCTCCTAAATAATCAAGAAAAGATTAGTATAGTGGCCTGATCGCTTGTTTAGATATAATTTCCCTCCTAGAAGGTCAAGAGCTTCTTTACTACGTTTTCTTCTTATGAGATAAGAGAAAGGTTATTAAAATGCATGACATGTTTAAAATTCCGAGTATATATATGCTATAAATTTAGTATATCCAGTGAATTATTATAGATGTGTCAGCAACAAATAACAGAAATTGTTTTCAAGACTTTTTGTTGATAATTGCAAAACATTAATTTATAGCTAATTAATTAGTTATCTCCTCTCTTTTTGTTATAGTATTACAGCTTTGAAGGCACATATAGCTTTGTTACACATATTATTTAGTTAAATAAAATAGGGTCTTAAACAATGCATTTTTCACAATTTGTTAGTCTATTATATGATTAAATTGCAGGAAATCTTAGAGTAATTTTCACATTTTTTATTTTTTTACTTCTGATTGAGGTAATTTACATTTTTAACAATTTGTCATTAATAAATGTACTAAATTTGAGGCTTCCAGGTACATTATAAATCCCGAGTGATCTTGACTGTTGTGATCTGTTTTTGTAATGGTGAAAATGATCGAATATAGCTAGCTAAATAGAAAATTAATTACAGCAATAATAAAGCTTGTTTAAATCCTGTTACAGTATCTACAGGCATGTATAAATGTATAATTGAATACTGTTCCAAAACATTGTAAGCAGCACAATGAAATTATTTGTATAATTCAATGTTGATGATCAAATTATTTGTATACAAGCACAATGAAATGTTGATGATTTGATATCATCAATATTATTTAAGTGTAATAAGATTAAATTTGTTGACATCTTGATAAATATTGAACAAGTTAGGATGGTGCGGAATACACACTTGTTTAAGTTTTCAAGATTCAAAGTACACTGTTATTTAGGGGCAAAGCCCCTGAACGAACGGGGGTCCGGGGGCAGAGCCCCTAGCTGGGGTCGAGCAACTGTCTTGTAACAGCTTTCAGACAGGAATCATATAGCCGTTTTTTGTCATTTTTCTGGTACACTTCTTCAACAACATTTCACATACATTCTTTGATTTCGTAATCTCTAAATTCTATCCAATTAAATGTTTGATCTGTACCATCGAAATACTTGAATTTGATAAGGAATCACGACTTTCAAAAAATCCAAGCAATCTGTATATCCCCTATTTCTAACATGAAGTTATTAACATTTCTACAAACTTGATATGTTTGATATAAATCTATAAAATATGTTTTTTTCTTTTTATATATTTTTAAGTTGTTTAATATATATAACAGAATAATATAAGTACTATAGTTTATATATATATATATATATATATATATATATATATATATATATATGTATAATAATAATAAATTATATAAAAAATTGCAGTTTCAAGTCACGTCTTTGAAAAACGTTATGACCTTTCTATGTTTCGTAAAACTTGAAGTTTTTTGTCTTCAAGGTACGCCTGCCACCATTTTAAACTTTGTGCGTACGTTGCTATAAACAACAAAATCTTCCTCTCCTCGGGGTAACGCTAATATAGGTACTTCACATAATAAAGTTTAGATCTACACAATGTTTTATCTAGACTTTCTGTTCCTCTTAAATTTTTTGGAATTTTGTATCAATTTTGTTAACAAAGCGGCTTTGTTGATTAATATTGTATAAAATGACAGGTAATACCCAATAAATCCAAGGAAACCTCGCACTTCGGTTAAAATTTTGAGGTTCTTACCAATCTTACGGCCAAGTCATGTCCTTTGTTTCTTGTTGATCAATGCAACCTTCCATGCATGTGGCCTAGCACTTCTTGTTTGGATCCGGTGGACCTTTTTTTCCTTTATTATGTTTTTTCATGTTACAATATATATGTACCTATATAATTATCTACAAAATGACCAACACATTTCCCAGCTAACAACATAATGAAATTTAAATCTTTTATATAAAAGGTACCCACTTAGGATAAAATTATACTCACATATATCATAATGTGGTATTTGAAATTTCATAGTGGCGTACTTTGATGTAATTTGTTCACTTCGCCAACTTTGAAAAAGTACACAAAATTTGTAAACCGGTGCTAGTATAACAAAACACAAATTTAGTGTACTTGTTGATGGAAATTAAGGTATAACAGTTATCTTTGCTTTTATCATCACTCTTTTTCCATTCTTCTCTTTAATTTGCTTATTCATTTCATAATGTAATTTTTCTCTTTTATTCTCTTTTGAACAAATTACTAAAATCATCCTGTGGTTTAGTTAAAATTATGTGTTTGGACCCTAATTTTTATTTTGCACTCGGGTCATCCCTATAGTTTCTTTTTGTTACGATTTTCGTCCCTACTAAACATAAAAAGACTATTATACCCTTACATAAAAAGACTATTATACCCTTACCAGATTTTATTTATATTTAAAAAATATTTTAGATTATTTCATAAAAGTATTTTAGTAATTATTAAAAAGGTTGAGTCCCACACATCCCTACCACTCTCACTCCAAATCCCCAGGCTACCCCTTCTCCTCTACAACTTGAAGCTATCAATCAATCTTAGTTTAAGGCTTCAAGCCATACCTCTCTCCTTATGAACTCCACCTTAAAGCAACGATCTTCACCTCAACTCCCCACCGGAGTCATCTCCTCCCGAAGTCATGTCCACCATCAGCCAACATGTGAACACCACCTCCAGAAGACTGCAATCCTAACGCCTTTGGAAATCTGCAACTGTAAACACGCTGGAAACATGTAACCCTAATGCCTCATAAACCTACAACTGTAAAGCCGTCGGGAACCTACAACTTCGTTGTTTTTCTCCGCCATCGCACGTTCCCATCTAACCCCATTTATTCTTGTTCCGCTTACCTCATCGATTTTATCTGGAAAAAACGTCTTTCCTTGATTGCATCATCTGGAAAAATGATCTTTGATTTATGGGATATTAGGTGAGGTGTTGCATTTTGGGATTGATCCTATTGTGTTTAATTCGATGACATCATGGATTTCAAATACATTTATCTCCATTTGTTTTTTGATTTGATTTATGGGATTTCATCATCGATTTCAGGTTAGGTTTAAGTTCTAGGTTATGATTTCAAGATTTGGTTTTTATTTCAATTTATGTTATGATTCAGGATTTCAGGATTTGACTTTGGTTAGGTTTTGATTTCGGGATTTGATCTTGGTTTGGTTTTGATTTATGGGTTTTAATCTTGGTTTTGGTTTGATTTTGATTTAATCCAGGTGGTGATTGATTGTGGTTACAATAAGTGAATGATGGTTATTGTCAGAGGTGAACATGGTGGTTGTCGGAGGTAAATGGAGTGTTACCTGATGGGTGGCGGTGTTGTCAGAATAGGTGGGTGGTGGTGTTGTCGAAATAGGTGGGTGGTGGCGGTGGTGACTGGTGGTTGCCTGGTTGTAGTGATGAGAGTGGGTTCATATGTCTATAAACGTCGTCAGGAAAGGGGATTGGTGGTTATCGGAGGTGATGGGTGAGGGTTTTGCAGGTGGTGTTTGGCGGTCACCGGTGGTGGTTTCTAGTGGCTGGTGGGTTTTGATGGTAGTAGGTGATAGCTAGGTGGTGGTGATGGTGGGACCTATTATAGTAATACATCTTTTAATTAATAAATAATAACAAAAAAAGAAGAAAAGGAAAAATATATAATGGTATTATAGTCTTTTTATGTTTATGAGGGACCAACGATGCAACAAAATCAAACAGTAAAGAAGGTCGGAGTGCAAAAAAAAAAAAAAAAAACAAAGGGACCCAATGCGTAATTACCCAAACCATAGGGACGATTTCAGTAATTTGTTCTTCTCTTTTAATGATTCCTGAAGTCTTGATATGTATTTCATTCTGCGATCTTGCTAGCATTTTAATAGCACTACTAGAAAACTAAATACCTATGGAAATTAGTGATAGAATTCCGACGTAATAGTGTTAAAGATAAAAACTATAATTTTAGTGACGGATATTGAAACGATAGCGATGAAAATTACTTTCGTCAGCAATCTATCAGTGATTACCGACGAATTACAAACGAAAATTAAACTTGTGTTTTCTTTGTTATCTGTCGGTAATCACCGATGGTTTTTCGACATAAATATTTTTTTAGAAAATAAATCAATCTTTTTATTAGTATTACTATAAAAATAATTCAATTATTATTATTAGTATTAGTAATTAAATGATTATTTACTTTTACTAATAAAACAATATAATTATTCATCAAATAGTTCAATTCTTCTAAATATTAGAGTATTAGTATTTTTATTATTAGTTATAGTTAATAAGAAATTAATAAATTACCAAAGGAAATGTTTTTTAGAAAATAAATCAACTTTTTTCTTAGTATAATTATAAAAATAATTCAGTTATCATTATTAGTATTAATAATTAAATAACTATTTATTTTTTTAATTAAAATAATATATTTATTTACCAAATAATTTAATTCTTTTAATTATTATAGTATTAGTATGTTTATTGTAATTATAATTAATAAGAAAATAATAAATTACCATTGGAAATTCTTTTTTAAAAAATAAATCAAATTTTTGTCAATCTT